GACTTTCATCGGCAACGAAAAATCAATCTCTCTCAATTTCAGTAGATCTCTTCAACTGCGATAATCCGTTCGTTTAACATCTTTTTTTCTCACTCAAATCTCTCACAGCTAAAATGGATTCAGTCAAGTTTAGTATCTCTTCCTTTTAGATCTATTGATGATTCTGGAGTTTTGAGTTTTTCCGATTCGATCTCAAATTTGTTGGAGATGAAAATCTGTGCATCGTTTTAATGGTTTCGATTGATTCTTATGATGTGTGTTGGGTTTTGGTGATTAAATTGAATTGGATGATGCTAAAATTAGGGTTTTGGTGATTGAATTGAATTCTCATTATCAGTAAGTTTCTGAAGCTTTAAATTTGTGTATTTCGATTGTTTTCTTGCTAAAGTTTATGCTTTTATGATTGGGTTTTGTCTCTATGCAGTATAATTGTGTTCCATTTAGCTTGATTTTTCTTATAATTTTGTGTTATGTGAAGGTCCTCAACTTCCAAAGAAAATCAGAGCTCTAGCTTCTTTCCGTGACTACACATTTGCTGCTTTTGGAAATGAAATCGCAGTCTTTAAGCGAGCTCATCAGGTATGACTAAATTGGCGTTTTTGTGGCCAAAGACAGTGGATTTTGCGCCTAAGCCACTGCAAGGTATATGCTCCTCAGCTTCTTTCCCTATTTTTTTGTATTCATATTAAAAATCATTAAACCATGAAAACTAAGATCAAATCTTTATGGTTTTTATTTGGAAAGGCAATGTAAATCAAATCATATATTTATTGTTAAAAAATTACTAAATCTTTTAAAGAAAAGTAAATATCATATTAAAAATCATTAGGCTTTAATGAATCTTTTCTTATTTCATAGTTGTTATGATCTTCTATAAATCAATTATTTACCAAGACTTACTAAATATTTAAACCTTAATGAATCTTGCCTTATTTATTAGTTGTTATGATCTTTTCTAAATCTTATATTTACTAAGATTTACTATGTTTTCTATAACTATTTTATTTGACAAAATATTCTTTATTAACCCTAAAAAATATCTTTTCACCGTATATTAATCTATATAAACCAATGTGTATGACCCGAATTCATCACAAAATAAAATTCAAAGAAATACTTCCTCCACCGAAAAAACTAACCATGGATAGATTGTTCAAAGTCAGCCAATTGAATCCCTTTGTCAATGAATGGAGAGTTAGGGTTAAATTGCTCAGAAAATTCACACTGTCTTCAGGAGCAGATTTAACTCTTGAGCTCATCATGGTTGATGAGAAGGTTTGTTTTCCTTGCTTTTGATTTGAATGATGTCATATGGTTATATTTATTTCAAATTTTATACTCGGATTGCTAAGTATATTGGATTCATCTTTGAGACTTGGTTTGTGGATTTATTAAATTTTAAAATCGGATTTTGTATTTGAGAGTATAGATTTATCTTTAGTATAGATTCATCTTTGAGAGATTGTTTGTGTATTTCCTAAAATTTTAAGATCGGATTGCTAAGTATAAATTTGAAGTTTGTTTGTTTGAAGGAGTTTGCTAAGACCATTATGTAAAGTGAAGTATATTTTGAAGTTTGTTTGCTAAGACCATTATGTAAAGTCAAGTATAGTTTATGGCGGAACTACGGGACAACCAATAACTTCGTATAGAGAGTCTTTGGAATCACCAATCAGAAAAAAAGTATAAAGAAAATGTTATCAGATCA